ACCTGTGGTGGGGAGAATTGAGGCCATCTAAGTATGTGTTAAGGTAGAGGCTTGATGGAGGAACTTCCAGAGCTGAAGAAGTTGAGGCAGCTGTTGGGGTTGGCACTGTTGTCTGAGTGGGAGAGCCGTTGGCTTTGGGGCGTTCTCTGATATCTGGAGAGAGCCTGATGTGGTTGATGGAGAGGGTCTTGCTGAGTAAGTCCTGGAGATGGCTGGTGTGAGGGTGCGGGAAGATCTTGCTGAGGTTTTTGGGCTTGGTGGAGAGGGCCTTGTGAAGTGTGGGAGGGAGGAGGGATCCCTGGGGTTCAAAGCAGTGTGTCACTGAAACACCCTGGGGCTCTGTCCTGAGGGAACATGACCTTGGTGGGTGTTGGAGACTGGGCTTAGGTGTTTGGTAACTTAGGGCTTGCCAGGCTGGAGCAGGCCAGGGGCTCCTGTAAGCTGCTCCCAACAATGGACAGCACCAGCTGCTACAAAGCAGGGTACAAGAAACTCAGTGGGCAGGTACTAGGCGAGGGGAGCTTTGTTGGCAGTGGGAGTGCTGAGCAGAGAACATGAAGCTGCAGAGGGTGATTCAGTGTGAGTAAGGATCAGAGCTAGGCTGAGGAGAGAGTTCTACCTTGGTGGGATCTAGGAAGGAAACCCAGGGAGCAGGCACTCAGGTGGACATGAGGAAGTGGAGGCTCGTTTGGAGAGGAGGATGGTTAGGAGCTTGAGCTCCTGCTGGGCAGCAGATCCTGGTACTTTCCACATGCCAGCATTGAGCTCTGGCCTTTGGTCTTTTGCTCTGTGAGGATACAGGCCCTGGCAGGATCCGAAAAGTGAAGAGAAGGGCCATGCTGGGTCAGATGAGCAGTCCCTCTGCCTATTGTACTGTCTGACAGTGGCCAGGGCCAGGTACTCTGGGGGAATGAACGGAACACTGCAATTCCTGAGTAGGGATGTAAAATCCCATTGAAAATGGTTAACTGGCCCATCACTCTGCAGGCATGACAGGCCCAGCTGGGCCCAGGCCAGGTGCTGGTTACCCTGTTACTGAGTGATCATCCCAGTTTCTAGCAGTCAGCGGCTTAGAGACCCCCCCGAGTATGTGGTTGCGTTCCTGCTCACTTGGCTAATAGGTCCATCAATGGCATCTTCCATAACTCATCTCGTTCTCTTTTCAAGTGGTTACATTTTTGGCCTTCAGCACCCCCAAGCAATGAGTTCCACAGATTGTCTGTGCTGCCTATTAATGTCATTGGGTGACCCCTAGTTCTTGGTATGCAAAGGGATAACTAGCACTTTTTTGTCACTTTCTCCACACTCCTCCTCCCGTCCCTTTTCCCAGTTGTCTTAACCGTCCCTCTCGTGTGGAAGCTGTTACATATATTTAATTGGTTTTGTTGCCCATCTCTGTACCTTTTTCCAATTCGAATATCTTTTTTGAGATCGGGCGACCTATACATCATGTTCCAGGTGTGGGCATATCATGGCTTTTTATAGTGGTGTTAGATTTACTGTGTTATCTATCCCTTTCCTAATAGTTCTTACATTGTTTGCTTTTTTGATGGCTGCTGCATGTTGAGTGAATGTTTTCAGAGAACTATCCGCATGACTCCACAGTTTTGTGAGATCCCTTTGTCTCTCTGCAGTCTGCTTTGGACCTAACTCTCAAGTAATTTTGTATCCTCTGCAGACTTTGCCACCTTCCACCTTTGTTCATCCCCTTTTTTCGGATCCTTTTTCATTATGTTGAACAGCTCTGGTCCCAGTACAGACCCTCGGGGGACATAACTATTTACTTCTGTTTTCAGAATGGAGAGACTTTTTTTCGTCTTTTAACCAGTTACTGATCCACAGAAGGCTTCCCCTCTTATACTGAGAGAGCTTGTTTTGCTGCTTCAGAGCATTTAGGGCAAAGACTTTCAGAAAGTCCATGTGCATTGAATCTATTGGATCACTCCTGTCTACATGTGTGTTGACCCCCTCAATAGATCCAGGAAGCATAATTTTCCTTTACAAAAGTAGTGTTGACTGATCAACACTGGAGATCCCCACTGGAGATCATTGAATCAGACAGTGCTAGAACTGGGAGGGACCTCGAGAGATCATTAAGTCCAGCCCCCTGCCCTTGTGGCAGGACCAAGCACCGTCTAGATCAGTGTTTCTCAATCTTTTTTATAAGTTCCCCTTTTTCAAAAAAATAAGTACCCCAGTACCTACAGTTTTCAGACACATTTTTTTTACAACATTTTTTTTCTACCATTGCAACACATTTGTTTAAACAACTTAATCGTGGGTGGGCGATTATTATTTTTGTACTTTTTACACCCAAAAATTTCAAGTGCCGTAAAACTTAAAACACATGAAGTTTTCTCCAAGTTTCAGTTGTGTTGACATAACCCCCTAGACTTCTCTTGAGTACCCCAAGGGTACTCATACCGCTGGTTGAGAGACACTGGTCTAGAGCGTTCCTGATAGATGTCTATCCAACTTGCTTTTAAATATCTCTAGTGATGGAGATTTTACAACCCCCCTAGGCAATTTATTCCAGTGCTTAACCACCCTGACAGTGTTCCCTTCTTCCCCCTCCCCCCCACTCCCAAAGTCCAACCTAAACCTCTCTTGCTGCAATTTAAGCCCATTGCTTCTTGGCCTGGTCTAGCCCTGAGGTAATGGAGAACAATTCCAGACACAGACACAGACACAGACACAGACACAGACACAGACACAGACACAGACACACACCCCGCCCCCATGATGCCCTTTTAGATACCTGAAAACTATCATGTCCCCCCTCTCAACCGTCTCTTTTCCAAACTAAACAATCCCAGTTCCTTCAGCCTTCCCTCATAGCTCATGTTCTCTAGACCTTTCATCATTTTTGTTGCTCTTCTCTGAACCTTCTCCAATTTCTCCATCTTCCTTAAAATGTGGTGCCCAGAATTGGATACAAGACTCCATTGATGCTTGATCAGCGCAGAGCAGGAGAATGACTTCTTGTCTTGCTCGCAACACTCCTGTTAATGCAGGCTCTTGTCTTTTCCTTGATACCCTCCAAATTCGCCAACCTCTCCCTCTGCAGCTGGGCGGAGAGCTGCCTCCAGTGCTGGGGAGCTGTGTAAATGACCTCTCATCTCCGTGAACGAAGATACCTCATTCACATCCAGCCCTGCAAACTACCATCAGCTCTGGGGACAGGTAGCTGCCTTTCCCCATCTCAATTGACTGATCAATATTCCTGCCTAATAAACGCATCTTTGTTCATTCTCTCCTTAATAATCTGTTTCTAGAGCACCTTTCCCCTGAGCAGTCTAGGAGGGTCCTGCAAGATGTACCAGTCTCTTCACTGGGATGGGTCAGGCTAGGACCATAAGAACTCTATCCTACTGAAACCGCAGGGGAGTTGGGGAGGCCGAATGGATCTGCCCAAGTCAGAATCGTCTGGGATGTAGGGGCTAGTACGCAGTCTTTTGGGGAAATGCCTTGGGATCATTTAATGCCTGTAAGGACATTGGTGTCACTGCCTCAGCTGAAGATACCTTTGCCCACCTGGTGCCTGAAGTCTCCATCACTGCTTTGTGCCTTCCCATCCCTCAGGGGGCTCCCCCCAGCCTGACACTGCTTTTGGGTCAGGTCAGTCTGAGGTTGGGTGGCTGCAGAACCCAATTTAGCTTTGGGGACTGACAGCCCCTCAGCCAGAGAGCAAAGGTGAAAATGACACCTGCCCTCGTGGGCTCATGCCAGCCCGTCCCAAAACCAGCTGGGGCTGGTGAGAGATTGGAGCCACTTGGTCCTGTAGCTGGTTCTCTGCCTCACCAATTGGTCCCCTTATTGGACCCTCTGTTGGGAGCTGACCTCACCCCCATCACCGTCTATGGCTGAGAACTTCATTGGGTCTCCCTTCGCTCGCTTTGAGAATTGTTCTGTGGGCTTGATTTCACCCTGGCTGGCTGGGGCTCTGTTGCTTTTCTCGTGGCGCTGCTCCACAAACGCTGCACTGGGGCTTTCTGTGGAGCCGGGCACTGCTGTCCCGAGGGACGCACAGCCGCTAGGGCCTATGCGGGGCTATTCATTTGATGCCGAAGTCACGCGGCTATTACAGGGACGGGCTGCAAGAATTGTCTGATTGCTGCTCTGCTCCAGCGTCCTTGGTTCCCGGGGTGAGCTCGCCTTTCACAGTGGAGCCTCCTCCCTTCACCATTCCTAGTTGCTTGCACGGGGTTGCCTCCTGGTGCAGCAGTTTCTAAACCTGCAGGCAAAGCTTTAGGTCCAGAGGGACCTGGGCCGACGTCCTATTCAACTAGCCTTGTGACAGGCGCTGCTTCTACAAACCCTGCGTTGGGGGCTGCCGAGCTTTGGCGTTCTTAATCCCCATGCTGGCGCGTGTGCCTCAGCCCAGGGCTCCTTCACAGGCTGCCTTCCTGCCGTGGCTGGCCAAGGCTCCCCAGCAGCGAGCTCACAGATGCTTGCAGCATTGGCTAACCTAGCTTGGCTGTTAATATAATACATGGCCCTGCCGAGATGCCTGCCTCCATGCGCTGTGAGCCCCACTGAGGCACATAGCGGCTCCAACTCCCACGGGGTGAGCAGCGAGCGCACGCCATGGGCAGTGGCTCTGAAAGGAGCCAAGCAGTCCCGGGACGCTGGCTGTATTGGCTGTGACAGTGGCTGGGGGGTTCAGCTGCCCCCTTGACTTCCATGCTGAGGCGTTGTAGCAGCTGATGTGCCCGCCTTTTGGGG